GCGGCCGAGGCGATTTTGTATGTGGAAGTCTTCGCCGACGACGACGCTGCGCTCATGGAGCGGATGGATCGGATCGTTGAAGCGATGCGTGGCGAGGAATCGTTCGCGGCCGAGGTGATCGTCGCCGAGACCGCCGAGGACCGCCAGCTCTTCGCCGAGGCGTCAAAGCAACTCGTGTCGGCGCTGCACGGCCTCAAGGGCGTGCGGCGCGCGGTGCCCGGCGTCGAAGACATCGCCTTACCGCCGGCGGCGCTGCCGCAGTTCTTCTTGCGGTTGCAAGAGACCCTCAAGCTGCGCGAGGTGACGGCATCGGTTTACGGGCATGCCGGACACGGGCAGTTGCACCTGCGGCCCCTCCTCGACATGACGTCGCGCGCCGACGTGCGGCGACTGGAAACGCTCGCCAGCGATCTCTACGACACGGTCTGGCTGCTCGGCGGCACCATCAGCGGCGAGCACGGCGACGGCTTGAGTCGTACGCCGTTCACGTCGCGTCAGCATGGGCCGCTGGTCAATGTCTTCCGCAGCGTCAAGAACGTGCTCGACCCGGCGGGCGTTCTCAACCCGGGCAAGATCGTCCCCGCTCCCGGCGCACGGATGACGCACGCGCTGCGGACGACCGGGCGCGAGCGCTTCCTCGCGCCGAAGCCAACAACGCCACAAGCAAAGCCGCCTGAGACGGTCGAGCTGCAACTCGAGTGGTCTCCGCTCGAGGCAGCCGACGCGGCGCGGGCGTGCAACGGTTGCGGCGCTTGCCGCTCCGTTGGGTCCGAAGTCCGGATGTGCCCGATCTTCAAGTACACGCCGCGCGAAGAGGCGTCGCCGCNNTGGGCGAAGGCGAACCTGATGCGGGGGGTGTTGTCGGGCGAGTTGTCGGCCACGGAGCTGCTGCTCGACGACGCGAAGAAGGTCGCCGACCTCTGCGTCAACTGCCACCAGTGCCGCCTCGAGTGCCCCGCCGAGGTCGATATCCCCAAGCTGATGCTCGAAGCCAAAGCCGCTTACGTCGCGACCAACGGGTTGCAACGCGACGCTTGGTGGTCGGCCCGCATCGACACGCTGGCCAAATACGCCTCACGCTGGCCGAGGCTGGCGAACGTCGTGATGCACAACGGCGCCGCGAGGTGGGCGCTAGAGCAGACGATTGGCCTGGCCGCGGGTCGCAAGCTGCCCGACTTTGCGGCGCGCACCTACCTGCACGAC